CCCTTACAAGTCTGAGCCATTTACTTTGGGTTCATTTCTTCACCAAGGGTTTGTCACTCTTTTTTTTTTTGATACATTCATGCCTACACAAGTTAAGGATTTCTTTCTCATGTAAACATTTCACTAGCACGTGTCTGACTTTTTTTTTAAGGCATGCTCCACACTCAGTGGTTCACAGTGAAATGCTACAGTTTTCTCCTCCCTGCTAGCTGTCTTTAATGCAGCACCAAAAAAGGAACTGTTCAGTAAATAAGGAGAGACTTGGCAGCGTGCTCCTCTCTCAGGCATGTAAGGAAAGAAAAGAACTCTGCGGAAGGAGTTGGTTGGGAAACTAACACAGTCTAGCATGGAGAATTACAGAGTGTGTATATATGGATGAATGCCTATCTGTCTACCTGTAGGTGTAATGCATGTTTATTTAGGAGGGGGAATAAGGACACAAGGCAAAGGAATGGGAATATATGAGCCTGGGAGATTCTGGGAGTGCTAACCATAAATGAGAGCTTCAGAGCTGGATATCCTTAATACAATTCATATTAGTAGGTCACTGTGCACATTTTCATTGCCATGTTTAGATATGCTTTCTTCCAAGTTGAGACTTCCTCTCCCTGTGCCACTGGCCTTCAGCATACTTGTATGCTAAAACAAGGCCTTTGAAGCACTGTACACATTATTATGGCTTTCATGCCTCAACACATGAAGGACTTGCTAATTGTTGAATAGGGTAAATCAGCTGTGTTAACGGTGGGAAAATAGAAAACTGTACAATGCATGATTAAGAGCCACTAATGTTGTCCTTCACAGACACTACATTTGCCTGCATAAGAACATTGGGGAAAATGCATTGACATGTGATATCTATCACCTCACAACATTGACTGTAGAGCAAAAGTGTTATCAAAACTAGTGGTAAAGTGTGACAAATCATCTTGAATCCTTTAAAATCAAACAGGACCAGCCTTAGATAATAATCTACCCTAAAATGTCTCAATAACTGAATGAGTTCAGTGAATGATTTAACTGAAATGCTTTCATTCTGGTTCAGTAGGTAATGTTTGCTACTGGGCGGTGGATGAACTTATGCTCTTTTGGCATGTGCTTTGACCGAAAATGGCAAGGCAGCTGTTCTCTTAAAGGACTCCTCCAGTCAGCATCTCATTGGACGCCTAGGATTAACACAATTCAACTCAGAATAAGCATGAGAATGCCTTAGTGCAATGCCTGAATACTCTCTCTCTCTCTCTCTCTCTCTCTCTCTCTCACTGTGTGTGTCTGAATCTCTAGTATCGCACCATTACTTATCCTTGCTTGGCTCTTGCATTCAACCTCTCTTTCTCTCTTTTGCCAAAATACCTGATATCTATATGTAACAAACTACAAAATACTGTGACAGAAAAAACTGTTAACATAAAGTGCAGCATTTTGTGTGTGTATATATATATATATATATATATATATATATATATATATATATATATATATATATATATATATATATATATATATATATATATATATATATATATATATATATATATATATATATATATATATATATATATATATATATATATATATATATATATATATATATATTTTATTATAAAATAAATGTATTATATATACATAATACATTTTATAACAAGGTCACATGCTCAGTAGTGCCACTTCAGTTGAGAAAAATTAGGTAGATTTTTGATGGAGGATAACTCATGCTAAATCTAGGCATCCTTCAGAATTCAGACTTATACTGTCTTATTACACAAATTATACTGTCTATTTGGTTACTAACATAAGATCATTGTGGTATTTCTTTTCTCTGCCATGTTTTGGCAAAGGCTTAACATAGACACAATTTCATAGCAGATTTGCCTGATAGTCTGTATTCAGTTTGACCTTCAGAATCACCATGACCAGTAATGACCGATTACAGATCATATGACACACTGTATTACCCTTAAATTTCCAGTAACACCATTTTGTTGCATAAGGTGCATTTTGTAACAATCTTTATAAAAAATGTGACACTCAGCATATCATGATTTCTGATCTGATGATTACAGGCATGAGCGGGTTTTGGTATGAGTGGGGGTGAGTGATGTATCATGTGATGATGTATGTCATTACAATCTTTTCTCCTGTCTGAGTCAATCAGCTTGTCCCTGGTCAGGATACATCTACATATGCTTTGTATCTCGTACAGCGGGAAGTCAATTTGTAACTCCTATACTGGTAAGGTCCAACGTTTCCTTAACTTGACAGTATCCAGCAGAGGGGAATATTTCTTACACATCCAGATGGTTCTATACTTTATAATAAAAAAATATATATAAATTCAAAGAATACAATATGTTTACTCTTTAAAACAAATAAGTAATGCTTCAGTCCTTAACTTTATAGCACCTATAAGAGGACAATGTAGCAGAGAGATGGAGAGACAGTAAGAAAAGCATTATCCTTTCCCTGCCACACAATTTATAATCTACACAACTTAAAATGGCAGGAGTCACTAAGTAAGGAAGTCTTTTGAACCAATTACAAAATAAAAGCACTAATAAATATGACATTATTTAAAAATTAAATATCATTATATACCCACAATATAACCATAATTATATAAATTAACACACAATACCAGGAGAAGAATTGGCTCTTACACTCTGTTTAGGACCTGATAATACTCCAACTACAGTGACTTGAAGTTACTCATTGCCGGTGTTCTAGATTTAGCTTGGATTTCATTGACACTGTGTAAAGCAGTGCTCTTCTGGTTTTGCTCAGTGTTGCTTACAGGGTTCAGCGCTTGGGTCTTAGTTTCCAAAGTTTCACTGGAATGCTATCTTTGTTTATCTAGAAATTAAAGGCTTTTTCCTGTGTTTATGTATAGTGGCAAAAGGTCTAATTCTCTACTGCATGCATTTATTTGAGTGTTCCTTTGATTTTTCAAGATCATTTCGCAGAATGCTGCCTGAAGAGCTGTCGGATTCATGTCCCATTTAGTGTGATGATTGCGTGGACCCCAGAGCCCACTTTCATAAAACACATCAGACTGGATTATGCTATAAACTAATTGGCACCAGATTGTAAAGTTTACAATCTGTCCTATTGTCATACAATGTGTAAATATTGTAATTAGTTTTTCTTTATTGCATATAATGCTCAAGCAGCCTTCTTGTTTAGTGCATTCACTGCTATTCTGAATTCGTTCTCAAGCGCACCCTCAGCCCCCCCCCAACGTACCATTACGACTTCTAATTACACTATATGGCCAAAACTTGACCATTGCACACAAATGTGCTATTCCAGATTTATTACCTCTTTAAAGTCCATTCTTCTGGGAAGGCTTTACATTAGATTTTAGATGTGTGGCTGTAGGGATTTGCTCATTCATCCACAAGAGCATTAGTGAGGTTAGACACTGTGCCTGGTGCGCAGTCAACATTCCAGATCATCCCAAAGGTGTTCAGAGGGGTCTGTGCAGGTCAGTTGAGTTCTTCTTCTCCAAACTTGGCACACCATGTCTTCATGGACCTTGCTTTGTTTACAAGTGGAACACCTGTTGTTCATGCTGGAACAAGTTTGGACTCCTTAGTTCTAGTGAAGGGAAATTGTAATGCCACACCATACAGAGAAATCCAATCCAATTGTGTGCAACATTGTGGCAATAGTTTGGGGAAAGCCCACATAAGGGTGTGATGGTCAGGGATCCACAAACGTTTGGCCATTTAATATTGGTCCTATTTGTCTCCATCTAGTTGGTATACAATTGGGAGATAATATCAAATCATTATCTCATGTGCCATAGGCCATGTTAATTGAAACTCATGCAGATTCAGTAATTTTGCTTCTTTCTAGCAAAAACCACTTGAAATGTCAAGCTTGAAATATGAGCGAAAATATCAAATATATACTATATAAAATAAAATCTAGTTAAAGTTGCCGAGATTAAAGATATTTTTAATTGCTAAGATATCATTTTAAAATAGGGACACCCTAAAAGCAGCTTCTTTCACAAAAGAAGGGGGACTTATCAGACTAAGGGGGCTTAGAAAAGGGAATGTAACATTTAGTCAAGGCAAAGACAGTTCTCTAAAAAAATATTCCACTATATTTATGACCTACCGTGACTCAGAAACACTTCCCTACACTACCTCATCTGTATCAACTTGACATGATATATTTTCCACATGTCTATCTGACAAAGCTGGTGAATTGAAAAGTAATGTTTAGAATAGAGAGTACTGGTCTTCAGTTCATACACACAGGACAGTAACATTAAGTTTGAAACTTGAATACATGCGTGTTATATTAAATTTAATTTTTTTCTGATTCAAAAAGAAAACCAGGTGACTAGATGTACACAGACCCCACACAAACCCCTTCTTTCTGTGTATGACTCATGCATGGTTTTAGCTTGCCTCTTTTGCCACCCAGTGGCCAAATATGTATATGTTAGAGAAGTGGAAATTCCCCAATTTCACTCAGCTGGGACTTTCAGTGCAATATCTAAATGACACATGCTCATGAACATATGGCCTAAATAAATATATACCCTATGGTTTATTTATTGATTTATTTATTTAACATAAAATTATGTTAGTTAACATATTTTAATATATTAGTATGGCATACAGTTATAAGTTTTTAATGGCTCAACTTTGTTCTAATTTTTTTAAATGATAAAAAGTATTTATTATCCACCCATCCATCCATTTTCCATACCACTTATCCTACACAGGGTCAAGGGGGAGCCTGGAGCCTATCCGGGGGAACTTGGAGCACAACCCATCGCAGATCACACACACACACACACACACACACACACACACACACACACACACACACACACACACACACACACACACACACACACACACATTTGCACACTACAGACAATTTGAAAATGCCAGTCAGCCTACAGCACATGACTGGGGGAGGAAGCCGGAGTACCCAGAGGGAACTCCAGAAACACGGGAGAACATGCAATCTCTGTGCACACAGGGCATAGGTGGGATTTAAACCCCCAACCCGAGAGGTACAGGGCAAACGTGCTAACCACTAAGCCACCATGCCTCCCATATTCATTATTATTATTATTATTATTATTATTATTATTATTATTATTATTATTATTATTATTATTGCTGCTCTACATAGGCAAACAGAAGTAATTACACCAAATGGAAATAATAATAACTTCATTCATGTTCAGTAATCTCTTTAGCCTGATCTGGGTCACAGTGAATTCTGAACCTAACCTGGAAACACTGGGTGTGAAGTTGGACCATGAATGGGATGCCAATCCCTTATAGGGCACCATGCAAACACACATTCATTCACACCTAGGAACTTTTTGAAATGTCCAATTATATGTGCTGTAGGTACATAAAGAGAAATGTAATTGATTTCACTGCATTTTCTTTTTCCTCACTATAGTATTTACAAGGTACAACAGAAAGTTAGAACAAATAATACCCAATCTGAATGACAAGCAACCATATATAGATCAGTCAATCATGATGTTATTATACTGTGGGCATTTACACAATTAGATTATTTATAGTAGTTGTTAGACAAGTTTTTGTAAGTTATGTTTGCATGTTTCATTGTTTTACCTAATGCTGGAGAGAATGGGAGGGCTTTGGTATCTAATCTTGAAGTTCTGGGACTTTCCCTTTACAGTTTCCACTTCTATACGCAATCACTTTCCACAAAAGGAAGGCAGGAGATTTCATCATCAGTCATGAGTACAAGGTTATGTACAAGTTATGTGGAGTTGATGAAAGTGCATGCAAACTATAGAAAGTGCGTGTTCCCACCCATCACTGCTGGCCCAGTGTCTGGAATAGAAAAAATTTTTGGTTTTGACATTTTTTTTTTTGAGTTTTGTGAACTTCAATAGAAAAGTTCACTTAACAAATAAAAAAGTAATTGTAACTTATAAAATATAGTTGGGAAGTCATCTCAACTTCTTCATTCAACTGCAATCTAAGTTGGCTCAACTAGCATTCAAGTTAGATGTATTCAATATTAATAGTTCATTCAAATAAGATGTATTCAATATTAGTACATTAAATATAATTGTATCAAAAATGAGAATAAAAGTATAAAATTAACAAAAAACACAGCATTATCACACTTCAAAGGCTCAGTACATTTATTGTCTACAAACATGCAGTATAAGCCTTGTACAAAAGCTGACCAATAAAATATTGCTGAAGCCAACAAACCAGTGTGTAATTGTGATCAGAAGCAGTTAAAAGTGTTAGTTCACCCAAAAATGAAAATTTACTGATAATTTACTGCAGGTCATCCATGATTTGTATGCCTATGCCTTTATCAGAACACATAGGTCCATAAAATGTACATGAAAGGGTGCCAGAACTTTCAGTCCAAACAGCAGATAAAGGCTGCATCCATGCAATTCCACCGTGTAAATTAATGTGTTCTGAAGCCAAACGTTAGATCTATGTAAAACAATGGAAAAATATTAAAGTGTAAAATATAAAACTTTATTAGTCATAATTATTTGCATTTGTAATGGAGCCTACTGAGGTCGCACTTCCTTTCAAGTAATGCAGGTTCGAAACTGCACAGGAACTGATGTCATTGCTGTTTAGACACCCAAGATAAGAAGAAGTAAGCACCATTTTGAAAAGAATATAAATGTGATTTTGCAAATAAAATTCCATTACATATATGAAAGTGCAACCTTGATAGGATCCAATATAAACGTGTATAACCATTGACCGGAAGCTCAAAGCTCAATTACTTGTGAAGGAAACGTAACGGCTTGCGGAAGTGACGTAAACAGTAATATAATTGGTTGATAGTAATTATCAATCAATTATATTGGTTGATAGTATAATTGGTTGAATTCAACGTGGTGAACTTATTTGTGATTCCATATCAATAATTAAATGTTGATCCAACTCATTTAAATAGGTCAATACAAATAAATCAGCTATTAACTGGATCAACTGAATAAAATAAGTTGAACTCAGTCTAAAAATATTTTTTACAGTGTACACATCGTACATTTTGAAACATGTTGGATATGATATTCACATGATTCACTATCAGTAGGCTCAGGCTGTACTGGTTTGCAAGCAACCAACGGAAACTTATTATGATTTTCTATTAGGAAAAAACCCCCAAACCATTTTGAAACAATAGCCTACCACCTCCGGATGTGTCACCAAACGTGATTATCGTTTTCATCTGTCTACACAATAGCCTCAGTGTTTCACAGTGTTGATCCAGTAGAACCTGTTAGAAATCATTAGAAAAAGTGCCACCTTGCTTTAATACACACGATTCAACGCAACTCAATCAGCTTGTTGTAAGCCTAACTAATAGCTAACAATAATGCGCTACATTTCAGAGACATTTTTTTCTACTTTACATGTGTTTGACTATTCTTTTGGTGTCCCATATTCTTTTGGTATCTCCATACATAGGGGAAACTAGCACTTTATTTACTTTAAAATCTTCTGCATACACACACTGAGTCGTCTCTCCCAAGCTTGATGAACTTGATAGTTTGGTGTTAGGCATGTAATTGTGTGTCCATCTTCCATGATCCAGCCATGATATATTCAGCCATTGGTGAAAAATATAGCAGTCACTCTGCTGAAAAAAGCAACTCTCAAATGTAGAAATTGACCTAACTATTGTTCCATCTTGTAATGATTTCATTGGAATGGAATTTTAATGTAATGTAATATAATGGAATGAACTGGAATGGAAATTTAATGGTTAATAGAATCCAAAGAAAGAGTGACAAGAATTATATGTAATTGAAAGGTATATGGCAGCAAAATGTACTTTATACACACACATGCACACACATGCATACATGCACATACACACACGTACCTATGCACAAAAATTCATGGGAAAATTGTGTGTGTGTGTGTGTGTAACAAATGTAACAAATGTTGACCTTAATAGGAGGTGAGAATTTCTGATGTAAGCGATGATGAATGTTAACTGAACCGCAGCATCTTAAACTGTATCACACACGTAGCAATGGCCCTCCCCTGCTGCTGTTGAGGTTTAGAAAATTTTCACATGTGATAAGCCATCTATGAGATCAGATAAAACAAGAGAGGAAAAATTAACAAGAGAAACCACGAGAGGCAAGATCTTGTGAGAAACTAGCTAAGCAACTTCAGACATGTTCAGACTGGACATGTAGATTGTGGATGAGTGGTTAAATGAAACACCTCACCTGCCTTTCAAATGAAATGACCCAGGATATTTTCAGGGTAATATACTTTTTTGCTGCAATTCTACTCCTACATATATGTTCTAAATCATTTATAAAAAAAAAATTACTCAATCACTGACCTACTTTCTTTCTTTCTTTCTTTCTTTCTTTCTTTCTTTCTTTCTTTCTTTAACAGAGACAATACAAATTAATCAAAATTAGTACTCATGATGTAAATGTTTCTGATTTAGCCTAATGGCTTATTTTCGTTTGCTGTCCCTCGGCAAGCTTTATGAAAAATTTTCACAAAGAAACATTAAAAGGTTACGTAACACTTAAACCTAACCCATAAAACACCAAACACATCAAATAACAGGTAACACAATCCATAATACAATCTTAACATTCATTTATGTGAGCAATGCTATACATGCTATATAACTACACATCATTTTGGCACTCCTGATTTATAATTATCTTGGAACAAATCAGTTTCTTAATTCAACAGGAAGTTCATTCCAAGCATGTGACTCATGAAAAAGCATTTCAAAACACGTGATTCATGGTGATTGCATAATAAGGACATGCTGATTCTAACATGTTTATTTATTTAATGGTACTGTACAGTATTACACAATCACTAGTTCAAACAGCCATTCTACAGCATTTTATGCTTTCAACAGCCCTTTATGAGAGCTCTGAATCAAATATAATCTCCAGATTATTCAAACTCATTAACTCAATAACCACAAGTTTCTTTCCCTGTAAAAATAGAAAACATCTGGATCAGTGTAATAAGTTTCACTCATTCTTTCACCCATTCTCTCACTTGTACTTACTCTTATTCTTACTCTTACTCACTCTTTCACTCATTCTCACGCTTGTACTTACTCTTACTCACTCACTCACTCAATCAATCAATCAATCTCACCACAGACTCACTCACTGTTTCACACTTTCACTCACACACACTCTTATGCTTTCACTCACTCACTCTTATTTACTCACTCACTCACTCACTCAATCAATCACTCACTCTTATTCATTCACTAATTCACTCACTCGCGCATTCACTCTTATTCATTTACTCACTCATTCACTCACTCACTCACTCATTCACTCTTATTCATTCACTCCTATTCATTCCCTCATTCACTCACTCATTCACTCCTATTCATTCCCTCATTCACTCACTCACTCAAAACTATTTTACTCTCTCACTAACAGTCAAGCACTCATGTTCACAAACCTATACTCACTATCCCTTTTATGCACTCACTCACTTTTTTGTTCACTCAATCACTCACTCATTCACTCACTACATTACCAGTTTTATTGGCCTGGCCATATACAGGTACAATTTTCCCAAAGCATCAAAGAAGATATATTAAAAAACAGCTGACATGTAATGATAGGATTGGAAAGGCTGCTGTATTTTAGATGAAGGCAATGTCTAATAGACCTTAAAAATGTTTTTGTTTTTTTTAATCAGTAGTGAGAACTGACCTAATTCAGCTTTGTTTGTGTTTGTCACTTTTCTGTGTACTTGCAGAAATACACACCATACTCAGTAAATGTCCTTAAACACACCCTATTTTAACCTAGTCTATATTTATTAAAGCTGTCAATGCTTTTGAATTGATATGAAGACCAGCGCCTAAGGCGTGTGCTGAGCCACGTACTTACATCATGCCTAAATCACTGTTGACACATTAATTTATTATCCAAGTGAGAAAAACCAGCAAACTCTTTTTCTGTGATTACAGATTGAGCTGTCATCATCAACGAACAAAAATATTTACCAGTTTCCTTTATTGTAATTGATTTGCTCTCCTTAAACACATTTGAACATTTAGTGCTC